TATATATACAGTGGGTAAAAAAAGTATTTAGTCAGCCACCAATTGTGCAAGTTCTCCCACTTAAAAAGATGAGAGAGGCCTGTAATTTTCATCATTGGTATACCTCAACTATGAGAGACAAAATGAGAAAAAAAATTCAGAAAATCACATTGTAGGATTTTTAAAGAATTATGGTGGAAAATAAGTATTTGGTCAATAACAAAATTTAATCTCAATACTTTGTTATATACGCTTTGTTGGCAATGACAGAGGTCAAATGTTTTCTGTAAGTCTTCACAAGGTTTTCACACACTGTTGCTGGTATTTTGGCCCATTCCTCCATGCAGATCTCCTCTAGAGCAGTAATGTTTTGGGGCTGTCGCTGGGCAACACGGCTTTTCAACTCCCTCCAAAGATTTTCTATGGGGTTGAGATCTGGAGACTGGCTAGGCCACTCCAGGACCTTGAAATGCTTCTTACGAAGCCACTCCTTCGTTTCCCGGGTGGTGTGTTTGGGATCATTGTCATGCTGAAAGACCCAGCCACGTTTCATCTTCAGTGCCCTTGCTGATGGAAGGAGGTTTTCACTCAAAATCTCATGATACATGGCCCCATTCATTCTTTCGTTTACACGGATCAGTTGTCCTGGTCCCTTTGCAGAAAAACAGCCCCAAAGCATGATGTTTCCACCCCCATGCTTCACAGTAGGTATGGTGTTCTTTGGATGCAACTCAGCATTCTTTCTCCTCCAAACATGACAAGTTGAGTTTTTACCAAAAAGTTCTATTTTGGTTTCATCTGATCATATGACATTCTCCCAATCCTCTTCTGGATCATCCAAATGCTCTCTAGCAAACTTCAGATGGGCCTGGACATGTACTGGCTTAAGCAGGGGGACACGTCTGTCACTGCAGGATTTGAGTCCCTGGCGGTGCAGTGTGTTACTGATGGTAGCCTTTGTTACTTTGGTCCCAGCTCTCTGCAGGTCATTCACTAGGTTCCCCCGTGTGGTTCTGGGATTTTTGCTCACAGTTCTTGTGATCATTTTGACCCCACGGGGTGAGATCTTGCGTGGAGCCCCATATCGAGGGAGATTATCAGTGGTCTTGTATGTCTTCCATTTTCTAATAATTGCTCCCCCAGTTGATTTCTTCACACCAAGCTGTTTACCTATTGCAGATTCAGTCTTCCCATCCTGGTGCAGGTCTACAATTTTGTTTTTGGTGTCCTTTGACAGCTCTTTGGTCTTGGCCATGGTGGAGTTTGGAGTGTGACTGTTTGAGGTTGTGGACAGGTGTCTTTTATACTGATAACGAGTTCAAACAGATGCCATTAATACAGGTAACCAGTGGAGGACAGAGGAGGCTCTTAAAGAAGAAGTTACAGGTCTGTGAGAGCCAGAAATCTTGCTTGTTTGTAGGTGACCAAATACTTATTTTACCGAGGAATTTACCAATTAATTCTTTAAAAATCCTACAATGTGATTTTCTAGATTTTTTTTCTCATTTTGTCTCTCATAGTTGAGGTATACCTATGATGAAAATTACAGGCCTCTCTCATCTTTTTAAGTGGGAGAACTTGCACAATTGGTGGCTGACTAAATACTTTTTTGCCCCACTGTATATAAGCCTATTTTTGGGTGTGTTAAAATTTTCTGTCCAAATTTCCATGACTGCAACATTACTGGCTTTTACTTTTGAATATGTGTTTTTGTTTTTATTACTCTCAGTGATGATTTGTGTTATATTCTTATTTGCATAATATTGTAAATTGTCTGCTGTATTAAAGTAAAACAACACGTTAAGTCATTTTAATGTAATTAAAAATCAGAAAATAAGTATAGGCAGTAGAAGAATTACCATGATGTTTAATATTTGCAATTTTTATTAATTATATAATTTAATATTTATGGTAAAGAGAATGAGATTATGATGTATTATGGTAAAATAAAATTCATCACAGGTAAGATACATACTAGGATATTTCAGTAGTTTTCATGTTCTTTCTCATTGTCTCTGTTCAGTTCAGAGCAGTTGTTCAGATTCATCTTCTGTGGGCAGCATGAAAGAGGGCGACTCACCCGCCTCTGCGAGAGATTCAAAGAGAAACGGCGAGCAAACGGGTCACACTCAGGTGAGTCACACACACACACACACACACACACACACACACTCTCTCTCTCTCTCACACACACACACACACACACACACACAAACACACATAGTGTGCAGTGAGTGATGATGATGATGAGGATTATATTTATTGCTGTTTTACAGAGCTCCTCACCCTCCACCTCTGTGTGAATCATTTCAACTCATAATACAAGTCTTAAAAATAATGTAAGTACTGTATTTTAAATGTTTTGTTTTCTAATTAATTCCTTCAAGAAATTTAGTTTAGAGAGTGAATTTTTTTTAAATACATTAATACTTTTAAATGTTCAACCATGGTTTAGAATCAGAGTGTGTATTTACAGCATCTACCAGCAGAGGCTCATGCAGCAAAACATTAATACAAAATTAAATGCACCTTCAACCCTATAAAGCCTACTGTATCATATTTGATGCACACATTTCTAAGGCCTCTAAATGATCAGCATGATCAAACTTTGCTGTTGCACACAACCTACTGTCGTCTGATTGATAGTTTAGAGTTTATCAAGTAAAAGCTCTTTTTGTATAATTGCACAACCACCTCCTTCAGCTCGTGCTTTATGTGTCTTTCTGCTGTCAAATCTTTACTGTTTTTTTATAAGGTAAACTTAAGAATAACTTTGATATTGTTAGTAATATTTCCAGATGAACACTTACAGGACTGAAGCAGCTCAGCTTTACTTGATTTAGAAACATCTTTGAGACTCAAATATGATTTCAATCATAATTGTATTACTGTGCATTATATGTTTTGATCATCAAACTAAGCATTTAAATATCATCTTACTAAGACATATTATTGGAGATATAGTGGGACGACTGATATTTATACCACTTTATGTAAGTATCTGCTTTGCTGTTATAAAGATCTCATTGAATTTCATCTCATAAATATGAGTATCTGCAGCAAATTGCATATTTTTGCTCAGTTTGAGTCTCTGATTATCATATACTATAAGAGCCATAAAAGCATGATGTATCAAATATGATACTCAACAAAAAACACATGCAAACTTTAATTCAGATTTATTTTTCTGACTATAGTTTCATATCAGGTTTAAACACTTTCTTTTCTGTCTAAGGTACATATTTGCTGCTCATAATAACATCACTTTTGACTTTTCCTCAGACACACTTTTCCTGCTGTTTCTTTAACCAAAATCTCTGCCACATATTTACGACTGGGACAACTGGACACAAACTGGATCCTGAGACGCACACAGCCGTGTAAATACAGTATTGCAGAAGACTGGAGGAGCCGTCTCACTTCTTATCATTTCAGTTGCTCTTGATAATTGACTTTCAGGTAGTGAATCAAAGTTGATTCAACGTCTCAGGCCCATCACACACATCAGAGACTAAAAAAAAGATGACTTTAAAGTCAACATGAAATCAAAATTCACTGAAAATGTATTCACTTTCAGGCCGTCCAATATGCAGATGAGTTTGTTTCTTCATCAGGTTTGGAGAAATGCAGCAATGCATCAGTGTCTCAGCAATGGATGCTCTGCAAGTGAATGGGTGCCGTCAGAATGAGAGCTGATAACAACATCACAATAATCCCCAGCACTCCAGTCCATCAGTTAGCATCTGGAGAAGACCAAAGCTGAAACAAATCCATCATTAAGACGTTTGCAATTAAATACAAGTCCATAATCCATAATAACGCTTCCTCCAGTGAAAAAGTCCATCTCCTGTTGTCTCTCACATATGTGTTTAGAGCTGCTTTGGCTTGTAAACGGTGTTTGATCTGTGCAGATTACTCTCCTGATTCAGATCAGACCACTTTTTACAAGACGTTAACTGATGGACTGGAGTGGTGTGGATTATTGTGATGTTTTTATCAGCTGTTTGGACTCTCATTCTGACGGCACCCATTCACTGCAGAGCATCCGTTGCCGAGACACTGATGCAATGCTACATTTCTCCAAACCTGATGAAGAAACAAACTCATCCTAATCTTGGACGGCCCGAGGGTGAGCACATTTTCAGCAAATTTTCATTTTGGGTGAATTATT